TGATAAAACATTTGGAGTGCTATTGCCTATGTTTTCAGGGATGTGGAATCTTGTTCTCCCTGTTCCTTGATGCGCCTGTGATCAGTTGTGAGCACTGATGTTGTCACTTAGGGGTTTGTACCCATAATTTTGTGAGAATATAAGACACAACAGGGTGTTCAGGGTGGTTTTTTCTTTGCAGGTAGCAAGGAACACAGACCATTGGAAATTTGTGCCTAAATGTTTACTGAAATTGAAGAGCCTCTGTAGGCTGTGTTTGCTCCATCTCAAAGAATATGTGTTGTTAACATCAGTCTGTATCCAAATTCCTTGTAGAGCACTGTGTCTTGGGGACAAGGAGTTAGAAACTTTCTAGCTTTTTGGAACAAGAGGCCAGACAATGTGATGAACTCGCATGTGCTCGTGCAGAATCTCAGCTGAGCAACATCCATAGTCAGTAAAGAGTGCCAGATACCTGATTTGGCGGTGGCTTGATAGAGAACTGATAGCATATAGGGGAAGCAAAGAACCAGCTAACATGCATCTATACTCACAATAGCTTGCAAAGAGAAATGAAATGCGCGTGTCTTTTGGAGTTCTGTTCTGCTACAGATCCAAGGATGGAGTTCCTCCTGGAGCCAGTCCTGGTTGCTAAATGTGAGCTTGAGTTAGCATACAAGCTTTTGACTGTGCTGCAGACGAGACCCAGGAGAACAGTAGTAGTATATTCTCCTAGTAGTATTCTCCTAGTAGTATTCACAGTGATCTCACTACTACAAGGTCCATGATGCTTCATGTATTTTTCAGCTTCAGTTCCTGGAGTTGTGCTGCTGCTCGTGAGGTTCAGTCTGTCATTAAGGTCAACAATTATTATCCTTTGGGCTATAAAGAAAATCAGTAGTCTAAATGTTAATTATATAGGTGGGAAGTCACTACACAACAGTGACTTAGCTCATAACTACTGGGGCGCTCGTAACTGGCTTTTGAACACTTGGGATTGTCAGGACTGCATTAATCAAAAAAATAAATAAAGATCAGAGGTTAGAAAAAAATGTGCGAGTCACTGGATTGACTTGGGGAAGCAGCAAGTGAGGAATGAACTTGAAATCTTCAAACTGCAGTTTGAGACAGTGCTAAGAATTAACACTTTGCACACTGGCTGCTGTAAAAATCACTGCTCATATACCAACTTGTCCCCCACGGTCTACCATGGCAAGTTACAAAGTTTTCAAACAGAGCCTGCATAAATGGTTGCCTGAATTCAGGCATGTAAACTGCATTTAGGCATGCGAGCTAATGGCCTGACACCCCAAGATGCTGATGCAGTTTGGAGTTGTGCTTAATCAGAAAAATTGGGCCTGCTTCCTTAGGTGATTGCAGACGGACTGAACTGCCTAAAATCAGGCAAACAACTTTGATGATAGGTTTGGCAGTGCTTTGAGCAGAAAGGACATATGCCAACATACTTTGCTAGCTTCTTAGATAAGTTGGAATCTGGCACTGATTAACAGAGGGGGATTAGTAGTATTCCTCAACTGAAAACTAAGACCAAGCTCTTAGTTTAACAGATTTGATGTACTGACATCTAATGGCCTCTGATCTCCTACCGGTCTTACTTTGTGTGACTTCGTTGACTCCCTCAGTACGACTCCTGATTTATACGATCATAAGGGCAAAACTAGAACACATGCGGATGCTCTTGCAGACTCTTACCAGTGGATACGGACCTCAGTCCTGCAAAGACATACTTGCTTTTAAATACTGGTGGTCTCATGCCCTTGTGGGATTGAGCCACTGGATTGACCGTCTGAGTGGCAGACATCAGTACTGCAGTCAGCACCCTTTGTAGTAACTGGCCTTTTGAGGGAAATAACAAACATGCACTTCCCCATGCAGTCCAGAGTCTCGTTTCTGATGGTGCCATGTAACTCTCATGTTTGCTTTGTGGTCTACGTGTGGGTCTTATGTAGAAGATTCTTCCTGTCAAACCTGATTGTCACCGTTCATGGTTTTGCCCTGAGTAACACGCGCATTTAGATATTCATTTCATGTGTAATCTCAGTTAAGTTATGATATTTATAATGACATATATAGTGTGTGATAATGATTTTTGTTTACATTCTGCCAAAATGTAGACGTTAGAGTTAGACCTCCAAGGTCCAAAATCATCCTTGAGCAGACTGCTTGCTTCTTCAGAGGCAGGCATCAGAAAGAGGACAAAACTGTCCAGAGAGACCATTTATATCAGAAATCTGCCAAGACAGGGCTGTTGATCACAAGCGGAGCATGTCATTGCTAGTGATGTATTTTTATGCTATGGAACTCTAACCTGTATGTGTCATATTGACTTTTTGCTGCATGAATCATAAATTATAAAAATCAGTCTTACGGTTTTGAGATGTAGCCAGCATTCCTAAGGCTAAACCTTTTTCATTGACAGAATCGAAATCCACAACCAAGGAACGTATTCCTCTCACTGTGAGAGCAATTGAAAGTGTTCAACGTTTATCTTTTCACAAAGGACGAGGCGACAGGACCTCTTAATGTGTCTTGTTATTGTGATCATCTGGAAATGATTGCCAGACGTTTCCTTTTGATATAGCAATGAAGTGATCCGTATTTAAATTTTATAGAGAGAATTTTATTCTAGTGTGATAGAGATTTATTTTCCACTTAAAGACTCAAAACGGTGTGAGCACATTTTTTTACTACGGTATATTTTTGCTTTAAAATTAAAAACAAAAAAAAAAAAGGTTTGGCCTTATCACAAAGTTTTAGTGTGTCGTATAGATGTTAGCAAATGCAAAGAGTATGCATTATTTGTGTGTATCCACATTGACTGATGTCGCCTTCAAAAAGCAATATTGTGCAGGTAATAAGTTGTTTGTGACTGTCCATTGCACAGTTTACCTTCTTTAAAAGCTAACCTTGTTTATGCACAAGACAATCAAATGTAAATCTACATCAGCACCCGGGTGTAGATTAAATTTATGTAAATTACTGAGCACAATGTAAAACATTAAAAGACACTTTATTTAATTACACATTTAATGTTGGTAAAGATAGTATCAGGGCATGAACTAGCTGACATACTGTAATTTCTTTTTCTCTTTTCCTACTTCCTTAGCACTCTCCAGTTTTAGTTTGCTCATAAATACATCAAATTAGTCATTCATAATTTTTTTGAAGAGAAGGGTGGTGTTTGGGTTGTTTATTTGTTTTTACAAAGTTGGTTGGGAGGGCTTCTTACTTTGTCTATGAGGTTTGTGGGTTTTGCTTATTTGGCTTATTTTTTTATACCAGTTTCGTGCCCTGAGGGTAAGGCAAACATTACACCGTACAGTAAAAAACAAAGTACCTTGGATGATGTATTTTTTTGCAAACAGTGTTAAGAGTTATGCTAGATTGGTAATATTTTTTCAGCCTGAAATATATTAAAAAAAAATCTGTGATCACAAATGTTT